TCTCTAACAAACAGCAGAAAGAGTCCTTACTGAGTCCCTGTAGGAAGAGACCTGCAACCAGAAACAGGACCTAAGGCCTGGATACAACAAGAATGCTCCAGCGCCTGTTGCTGGGATACAGCATACCAGAGGGGTTCAGCAAGAACCCTCCAAAGTCATGTGGCTGGTTGAAAGACTGAAGGGAGGATCCCTGACCTGTCCACTCCTTTCCTGGTTCAGAGAGGGGCTCACTCTTCATTATTTCTACACAAGACACCAGTATACACACAATAAAAGAGAGGAAGAGGGGAAAGATAGAGAGAGGGAGAGACAGACAGAGAGAGCAGTTGTGGTTCAGATGAACTAGGTGGCAGCCTCTGATTTTCCTGCCAAAGTCATGATTATCACTTGATGGCTTGAAAGCTCAGGCCATGGAGTGCTGAGCAGAGAAAGGACATAGTGAGCTCTGACTAAGTGGGCAGTGCAGGGGTCAGTGTATCCTGTCCAGTGAGCAACAGAGGCCCCATGGGAGAGCCAACCTGGGCACAGCTGGCTCACCGATTGTCAGGTGTCCCTAACAATGCTGACCACGGGTGTTTGGAAGATGTCTCAAATCGATGAAAGCTTCCCCATTTATTATTCTCTCTGTATGTGACATGATGTCTTACGCAGATAAAAGCTCATCAAAGAATTCATTCTGTCCACCTTCAACTCGTTCACTCTGCGTGTCACAGAAAACCTTTTCTCAGACTTGTTTTGTTCTAGTCTGTAAATGGCACATGCCTGTCTTAGTTCTCAATCAATACTGGGACCTGGAACCTCAAACGTCCCAGAGCCCTTTTACCAGTCTTTTGTTGGTTATGAATGTGAACTGTGCTCAGCAATACAATCAGCCCTGGCTTTTCCAGACCACATGCCCACAAGGGAAAAGGCCTATAGACTGTATGCTTGGAGGCTAGGGAGGAAGCATAGAGCAGGAAGAAGTGCCCTTTGTCTCATAAAATGTGCATTCTGGATACTCACAAAAGGCTATCACCATGGAGCCTTTCACAGACAGCTTTGAGCCTTGAGATAGTTCGCCGGGGTTTTTGATACTTTTCAGCACACAGCAGGGACCAGGAACAACCCACCAGCTAGATCTGCATTCTCTCCTGAACAAATGCATTAAAAATATCAATTGATGCAGAGAAGGGCAATATTCTACGTCTGTCCCATATCTGAAGGATTGGGTGTGGTGGTCCATGTCCTCAGGGGCTTCGTGGGGGTGTTTTGACTGTTTCCATGAGAATGAAACCTGTTGCTTCCAGCATTCTGAACAATCACTACACACTTGAGGTAAGTCTTCAATCTTTCTTAGGGTTGGATCAATAAACAGTTTCTGCAATCAGAAATGTGGTACTTTGCTAGGGGAGTAACTGGAGCACATACCTAACACACACTGGCCCATGAGGGGTTCCATATGTTCTAAAATGTGAGTAAAATTGAGCTAGTATTTTATTGAAAAAAAAAAATAGCCAAATGAATGGAAACACGTGAATTATGAACCAAAGGCTGAGGGGCCCCTAGCTGGATCAGTCCCTCTGAATAGATGAGACAGTTGATTGGCTTGATCAGTTTGGGAGGCAACTAGGCAGTGGGACCAAGTCCTGTGTTCATTGCATGAGTTGGCTGTTTGAAACCTGGAGCTTATGCAGGGACACTTGGCTCAGTCTGGGAGTAAGGGCCTGGATCTGCCTGGACTGAGTCTACCAGGTTGATTGCAGTCCTCGGGGGAGGATTTGCCCTGGAGGAGGTGGGAATGGGGGGTAAGCTGGGAAGAAGGGGAGGGTGTGGGAGGGGGAGAACAGGGCAACCCATGGCTGATATGTAGAACTGAATGGTATTGTAAAATAAAATAAAATAAAAAAAGAGGAAAAAAAAATGAGCTAGTATACATGGTTACAGCATGTGTTCTTCAGTGGTGGTACAGTTCATTGTACTAAAGGAATGCTTCTTCTGCTTGAAGGATTGGTTTAGGACCAGGAGAGCCATTTTCAGGAGAAGCAATAGAATGGTGGTGCTGATTGATGCACAACCTGGTCCCAAGAACAACGATCCCTGAAGATTTTGGAGCAGCACATGAGTGCCACCTCTGTTGTGAGCCAGATGACCTGGAACCTGGCCCTGCCCCCAGTGTCTCGGCAACCCATGCTGGCCATGACATCCTTTTCTTCCTTACAATTATATCAGCAATAAAGATGTGTATTCAATGTATGTTGGTTCCATTGTTTTCAGGTTACTAAAATATGGGTATAAGTATTTGAACCATAGTAGTCTATTCCAGAAATGGCATTTATGGCAGGAGGAGACACTGGCACGCTGTGGTCACTGTGCCTTTCCAAGTGAGGAAGATTTCCAGGTGCTATGCTGATTCATGCTGACCCCACATGACTCTCCGCCCCCTCATCATGGCCTTGTCAACACACTCCACCTCTGGGGAACAATTATTTATACTATCAGCTGGGGCAAGTCACCAGCAGAGGACACTGTATTTCTATTCATGGCTGTTCCCACCCACACTCCCTTAAGTCCCCCCCCTGGGCCCAGCTGGGAAATTCCCAGATACTTGTCCCAGGTTTGACAGGGGGAGGAAGGGGTACATGATGTGTGGTTTGCACCCTCTCTGTGGATGTCCAGGGCACTAGGAGCTACACTGGCCAGAGTCCTGATGCTTGAGAGGGAGAGGAGAATCCATCCATCCAGGCCACAAGGGGGGTTTCTGACTCATTTATTTTATTCCAGCTCAGGGAGCATATGGTCTCACCCTTGTCTGCTCAGAGATCTTGACTAATATGTCTTCTCTCTGCTTTTTGTCACCTGCCTTGGAGAACCTCAGTAATCAAGATTTCGGAGACCTTTGCTTCATAGCTGCTGTAAGCATTGTTGAGACCCTGGTATTGTTCTGAAACAGTCAGTCTGTGAATAGAGCAGTACTGCTTCTTTGCATATGTGAAGCTGCAGGTCCAAATAAACAAAGTCCATCTTAGTGAGATGGAGAGCTGTGACCTAGGTGTACAGCCTCAAACTTACTGCATGGTGTTGTCCCAATACCGTGCTCTCCTGCCATTGCAATCCTTAGTCTATTTTCAGTCTCTGGGAATGTGAGTGCTCCAGGGACCTTGCCTGCTGCAGGTACTTGCGAGTTTGCTTTTGAGTCTTTATGATGTCTCCCAGCACGCTGATTTGAGAGCCCTTGCTGTAGTAACAGGTATCAGAATTTCACTAGGGCAGCATCTATGGCTATGAACCTGAGGTCTCCCCTTTTCAGGTCTAGCAAATAATATTTCAGTACAAATAACTAGTTCCCCTGGCTTTAAGAATCTTCCACCAGTCATCCTCATAGCCCCTATGCTTGTGAACAAGGGGTATGACAGAGATGTCCCATTAGACCTGAGTGTTCCACCTTCTCTTGTGTGTTGTTGCACATGGACCAACTGTGGGTCTCTGTACTAACCATCACCTTCTGCAAAGAAATTCCACGCTGAGCTCTCCAGGAGATATGATGTACATGGTGATGTGCAAGCTGACAGGCCCAGCAGCTATGGATCCCCTGTTTGTCTTTGGTCAGGAAGAGCAGGAAGGGACTCTAGAAGGAGGAATGAAGTCTGAGCACAGCCTCTGGTCCCAGGCTGTGTAGACCCCATGGAGCTCAGTGCTTATTCTACAGTCCCATGGGGTTTGGAATAGTTTGAAAACTGTTCTCTGTCTTGTAAAGGTGGAGTGAAAGCAGTGGTTTCCAGGGGCCTCAGATTGTCTCTAGGGAGCCTGAGTTCCTGGCTGCTTCTGGCTTCCTCTGTTTCTCTGTAGGAAGAAGAGTTCCCACACCCATGGGCCCCCTCTTCCTTCCTGACCCCCCCAGTCTGACCACACACACACACACACACACACACACACACACACACACACACACACACACACACTGCTGCAGCTGTCACAACCACCAAAACCCCTGCTCCTAACTGACTTCTGGATGATATTTTGCAATCATTTTTATCATAGGATAAATCCCAATGGCTCATGGTGGGGACCACACTTGGAGAACCAGCGAGATAGAGAGATGGGATCAACTGGGGCCCTGGAGGCATCAGGAGGAAGGGTCCTGAGGCTCCACATTGGATGTTCAAGCAAGAGATGACTTTCTTGAGTTCCATTCAGGCCCTTGCCACCAATCTTCCAGGTACAAAGTGTTATCAGCTGACCTGCTCAAGTAACTGGCTGCCACATCCTGTGGCTTCAGTCTTCTCACTGGGCCTGATGCTCCATGAACCAAACCTGAGGATGGCATCTTGTGTCTCAGTGGACTGTGGATTCACATCCTGTTCTCCTCAGTTGTGTGGAACTGATATGTGCTGTTGATACTCTTCCTAGGGACAAAGGAGGAAACGGAAACAAATATATACTAAGCCCAGTTGGAGCTATCCAGCCTTTTACTTCCTGTGTCTTAACCAGCTGGGCCCAGGGGGGGACTTACAGGAGTGCAGGTGGGAACAGCCATGAATAGAAAAACAGTGTCCTCTGCTGGGGACTTGCCGCAGCTGACTTTACAAATAATTGTTCCCCAGAGGTGAATTGTGTTGACAAGGCCACAATGAGGGGGCAGAGAGTCATGTGGGGTCAGCATGAATCAGCAAAGAAACTGGAAACCATCTTCACTTGGAAAATCACAGTGACCACAGCTTGCCAGTGTCTCCTCCTGCCATAAATGCCATTTCTGGAATAGGCTACTATGGTTCAAATACTGATTCCCATATTTTAGTAACCTGAAAACAATAGAACCAACATACATTGAATATACATCTTTATTGCTGATATAATTGCAGGGAAGAAAAAAATGTCATGGCCAGCATGGGTGGCTGAGATTCTGGGGGCAGGACCAGGTTCCAGGTCATCTGGCTCACAACAGAGGTGGCACTCATGTGCTGCTCCAAAATCTTCAAGGATCGTTGTTCTTGGGAACAGGTTGTGCATCAATCAGCACCACCATTCTATTGCTTCTCCTGAAAATGGCTCTCCTGGTCCTAAACCAATCCTTCAAGCAGAAGAAAGGGTTGTTTAGTACACTGAACTGTACCACCACGGAAGAACACATGCTGTAACCATGTATACTAGCTCAATTTTTACTAACATTTTAGAACATATATGGATTCCATCCCTGGGCCAGTGTGTGCTAGGTATGTGCTCCAGGCCTGAGCTACTCCCCTAGCAAAATACCATATTTCTGATTACCCAGAAAATATTTATCGATCTAACCATAAGAAAGTTCCTCAAGTGTGTACTGATTGTTCAGAATGCTGGAAGCAACAGATTTCATTCTCATTGAAACAGTCAAAACACGCCCATTAAGCCCCTGAGGACATGTACCACCACACCCAGGCATTTAGCTATTTGACAGACCCAGAATATTGCCTGTTCTCTCCATCAATTGATATTTTTAATGCTTTCTTTCAGTAAATGATTTTCTGATCATTGCTACATGTTGAAAAGTATCAAAAAGAGTTATTTTGGAACCCGGGAGAACTATCTCAAGGCCCAAAGCTGTCTGTGAAAGGCTCCATGGTGATAGCCTTTTGTTAGTATCCAGAATGCACATTTTATGAGACAAAGGACACTTTTTCCTGCTCTATGCTTCATCCCTAGCCTCCAAGCATACTATCTATAGGCCTTTTCCTTTGTGGGCATGTGGTCTAGAAAAGCCAAGGATGATTGTAATGCTGAGCAGAGTTCACGTACATAACCAACAAATACAGTTAAAAGGGCTCAGGACCATTTGAGCTTCCTGGTCACAGTATTGATTGAGAACTATGCCAGGCATTTGACATTTACAGACTAGAACAAGGGAAGTCTGATAAAAGGTTTTCTGAGACCCGAAGCATGAAAGAATTGAAGGTGGGCAATAACATGGTCTCTTCACTTAAGTGAGGCATGCGGGCTACACAGCCTTCAGAAGGTCATGGAGAACACACTATGTTCCCAGAGGGTTAGACAAAGCACCTTGGCATCTTAGGTTTCAGGTGTCCAGGTTTGCATTTCCTGCCAGAGGAAATGGAGGTCTTTCGTCATCTTGAGCCTAGCCTGGGTGTGGAGTGGTCTGGCATCTTTGGGATGCAACTTCAAGATCCCAATTTGCTGCTACACCTCTCTTCTAGACAGCAATATCACAAGATGTGGAACCCTTCCAAAACATTAATTTTTTTTAAAAACACTGACCTGCACATCTGCTTCTGGCACACCCATAGATATTGCAAGTTCCTTCCTGAAGTGAAAAGATTACAACATTTAAGCCTTGTGGTGGAAATAAACTGTATAAGAACATGTCCTGTCTGCTTTTAAATGGTTGTGTCCACACTTATCTGTGTGCACACGTACACATACACACACACAGAAACACACACATACACTATTCCTCACATTTACTTTGCAACTTACTTTACTAAGAAGTTTCTTTCAGGGACCAAAATTAAGGGAAATCCCCCAAACACAGGTATGTCTTCCATGTACTTAACATATAAAGCTTCATTAAGCGAACCTCCACGATGAAAAGTATTAGCCAGATTTCAATCTGAGGTGGAATCCCTCCTGCATTTTCCCAGCTATACGTCAGGCTTCTAACTGATATGTACAGGGACTTATTTAGAACAAGCACTGTCTAAATTTCCCACTAATGTGCCACTTAAACAGGCAACAAAACACAATTTTTCCAGTTAGACTAGGGCACATCCCCTTACTCTAGAAGCCAATTTCTGCTGGACTGTCCAGACATGGTGGCTTTGTTTCTAGAGGAAATCGGGGATCCAGGGAGCACCAAAGGACAGCCTGGATGCACTGCCTGAAAGCCAGGTGCCTAGCAGGGCCTTCTGTTTACCTTACTTGAAAGCTGGGGTAGCGAGTCTCTTCAAAAAGACGCTCCAGTTCCTGCAGCTGAGACTGGGTAAATCTGGTGTAGCGCCGTAAAGGCTGCCTGTCCCCAGCCTGGAGACTCTTGGTGCCCTCAGGCATTGCCGCCTCTTGCTGAGGCTGCTGTTGTACACTACTGCCATGACCACCTTCTGCCTGGATCCCCTTGTCCATGGGGCCAGAACTACCATCGCCAGCATGTGCTCCTTCCATTTCTTCTTCTTTGTTTTCTCCCTCGACCATTCCTGTGGATTCTTGAGCAAGATCGGACTGAGCAAGCTCTTCTTGAGCAGGCTTGCTTGGGGCAAGTTCGCTCAGAGCAAGTTCGCCCTGATCAAGCTCACCCTGAGCAAGCACGCTTTGTACAAGCCGTCTCTTACCTCCTTCCTCTCCAGCCTCCAGGACTACTGCATTCTCATCTGCAAGAGAGAAAAACACAAAGATAAAGATCTGAGCATCGTGGCCCGTGGATCATTGGGAAAGCCTAGAGAAGGGCCACTGGCAGATTTGGGGTAATCGAAGTTCCTGGCCATTGGCCGTTCCACCCAATTTGCTTCCAGGACTTCGCCCAAGTCCAGTCAGAAAAATTTTACTGACCATGCTGTTGTTCCTGGTCCTCATTAGCTCCTAGACACAGCATCCTTCTGAATCTGTGGCAGCAGCCCTTGTGATTCTCCATGCCAGAAATCGTTCAATCAGTAACTAGTTCCGAAGCTTTAAAGCCACGTCCTCACTGTCTGGAGCCACAGGTACAGCTCTGACTCTTGACCTGGAAGGCTTGTCTTCTGGACACTCAACGTAATTACAATGTGTCCAATCACACCTGCTGGACTGCACAGACTCACTGGCTGTGGGCTTGTCCGCTGAGGTATCTAGCCTGAAGCACTTTAGGCCTGCAAAGGGCAAGGAGTTCTTTAAAAAAGAAAGGCAGTGAGTGTGTATGGGCTGGGGGTGCGAAACCTGTGGCTCTGGTTTGCTCCTTAGCTGACACCTCTCGTTTTGGGTAAGGCTGGACTGTTCAATTTCAGTCACAGGGAGTAACACAAAGACCTCAAACTCAGCAGGCCCTTGAGCCCAGGTAAATCATTTTATTAAATTAAGGAAAAGTCCTTCAAACAAAATGCCCCAATCTTGGATGTGCTGTCTTGAAGAGCCCAGTATGATGGCAAATATGTGGGTAGGCCAGGGCAAGATCCTGCTGAGAGACTGTGCTCCCAACAGGGCTGAATTCCACTGGTATTCACAAGCTCATTCTGATGGAGACCTTGCTCTACCTAGCTGTGATTGACCAAGGTCCTAGGGTGATGCAGATACCCGAGGATATCAAATATCTACCCGGGGTAATGGCTCCAAACCTGTCTCACAGCTGTGAAGGTGAAAGACAGGAGGAGTAAGCCAATCTGGATGCAAGCTCTACAAATACTTATTGCAGGAAGGGGCAGAATTGAGGAAAAGTTAGAGAGACTCCCTAGAGTAGGTGACATTCCCAAAATTTAGAAGAGCCACTGAGCTCTGTCATTTCATGGTTTTTGTTTTTAATAGGATCATGGCAGAGTCTGGACAATGGCTGAGGTAATTGTTAGAAGATGGGTTAGTTCTCTGGGTTAGCATAGGCAGAAACACTGGAGGTCCCATGGTCCACATGGTCTAGCCCACACCAAGGAGATGATCATGGTCTGCTCACCTATTGCCAACCTAGTGAGTGGTGGCTCGACCCCCTCAAACCACAGACCCCTTTGGCCATCCCTGAGGAGGGCTTTGGAAGTTGTGGGTTTTGACTTTCATGTCTCCATTAGACACTGGGTACTCTTGCATCCTGTGATAGTTCAGCTGTCCCAGGTGCTTTTAATTATCCTCAGCTCTCTTTCTTCTCAGTCACCAAGAAGCAGCTGCAACTGTCCTTCCTCCTCTCCTTATCTCCTGTGTGGTTATGAAAGGCTTCCCTGAAACACTGAAATGGGAGGCTCTCTTAGACACAGACTTTACTCCCTCTCACAATTAGCTGCTGTAGAAGCCAGGCTATATAAGGAGACAATAGTGTCATGTGTGCTTTCCTGAAGGACTTGGTGGCCTGGTTGGACTGCCCACACTAGCTGGGAGCCCTGTCTTTATCAGTGTGAGACAGCTTGACTGTTCTACTGATCGCAGAAACCCTTTGTGTCTCATCTTCAGTGTTCCTGGCTTGGCTGTTTCAAACCAACCCTCCTTTTAGCCCTAGCATCCCTGCAACATAGGCGAGCAATTAGAAATTTGAACGTGAGTGCTTTTTCCTCACTAAGGACAAATACCTAGCTCCTGCATCCATACCAACCCCGGATTCTGAGATAAATTTCCCAATGTGCTGTTCACAGGGTTGGTGTGAAGGAGGTAAGCAATCATGCATTCAGGGTGCCCCAGAGACTCTTCATTTCCTCCCTTTTCTACAGAGCTCACAGGACACTCGATGTATTCTTTTATTTCTGGCAGTTTGCTCCCAGGACTTAGCAGAGAGTGTTGCAGAGGGTTATCCCTCTCTGATGGGTGACTCCGCACCCTAAAAGATGGATGCTTGCTGTGTAACCCAGAGGAGCTGTGGGGTGCACTATGGGAGTAGATAACACAGGTAAACACCAAGGCCTGCAATGCTCCAATCTGTTATCTGTGTGAGTCTGGAAACCAGCACCCGTCTCTGCCTTTACCCTTGATCCTCTTGACTCTGCTGTCCCCTATTTTACCTGGGGAAGGGACTCTCCTCTGCTGACTCCTCAGGATATCTACTGCTTGCTTGCTGCTATATAGTAGCACAATCTTACATATCCCTGCAATGACAGGAAACCTGTATCCATAAGCAACTTTTGCTGTAGAACAGCAGTGATTCATGAACCCAATTACTGCTCTGTATGATTTTCTTATAAGTTACCTTCTGTGAGGTACTCTTCAGGATTGAAATGCTTTAATGAAATCTTGTGAATCCTTCATGTTTAGTTACATGCTCAATGTTTTAGGTCAGTGATTCTCAACCTTCCTAATGCTGTGGCCCTTTAATATTGTTTCCCCTGCTGTGGTGACACCAACCATTTTTGTTGTTGCTTCCTAATTGTAATTTTGCTACTCTTATGAGTCATAATATAATATCTTTGTTTTTCAATGTTCTTTTAAAGGTCTGCAGACCCAAAAGGTAAAAGGGGCTGCAACCCATAGGTTGAGAACCACGGATTTAGGTTAAAGAATATGATTGTGGAGTTTCTACACCATTTTCCCATGGGACTTTGCTCATCATAGTTATTAGATGGGAAACTTACCTGCACACAGATTTTCCTGACGGATTTCTTGGTCATCATGCACATGTCCACCCACAGGTGCATTCACAGTCACAATATTCACATAAAGAAACATCTGTAGAAAAAGCCCTCCCATCACATTGACCCATCCCTTAGAGGAAGGCTAATCTGCAGAATGTAAGAGTAGTTCTAGAAATATGGAAAGCATAAAAGGAAAGTGGTCCAAAATGTTTCATAAACCTAGTTACTGCCAGGAAAGGAAACAAAAATGAATTCAAAGTTTGTTTTATTGATGAGCACAAATAAAAAAAATTGGATCACTGTTTAACTATAACCCAAGAAAATATTATGTGAACCTTGATGAGTGTTGAGATAATTCAAATGAGCAATTTTAGAAGAAATTTATCAGCTCTAAGAAGAAACATAATTGTGGGATCAGGATCTATACCTGGTGCCTGTGCAGCTTTTTGGAGCTCATTACCTATGATGGGACACCTTGCACAGCCTTGGTACAGAAGGGAGGGTCTTGGACCTGCTTCAACTGAATGTATCAGGCTCTGCTGAATCCCCATGGTAGACGTACCTTTTTGGAGGTAGGGATAGGGATGTAGGTTGGGGTGGAATGCTGGCTGAAGCATGAGGAGTCATGAGAATGGGATCTTTGGTTGGTTTGTAAAATGAATAAAAATTTCTTAAAGAAAAAAAGAAGAAACATAATTGACAGAATGAATTCTTTGACTAGATTTTATCTGCATATGACATCACATACAGAAAGAATAATAAATGGGGAAGCTTTCCTAGATTTGAATCATCTTCCACACACCCGTGGTCAGCATTGTTAGGGACACTGACAATCTGTGAGCCAGCTGTGCCCAGGTTGTCTCTCTCATGAGGCCTTTGTGGCTCACAGGATAGGATACACTGACCCCTGCACTGCCCACTCAGTCATAGCTCACTATGCCCTTTCTCTGCTCAGCACTCCATGGCCTGAGCTTTCAAGTCATCAAGTGATAATCATGTCTTTGTCAGGAAAGTCAGAGGCTTCTACCTAACTCATCTGAACTGGATCTGCCCTCCCTCACTCCCCCCCTCTCTGATTCTCCATCTCTCTCTCCCCTATGGCCCTCTCTTTTTTGTGTGTTATACTGGTGTCTTGTGTAGAAATAATGAAGAGTGAGCCCCTCTCTGAACCAGGAAAGGAGTGGACAGGTCAGGGATCCTCCCTTCAGTCTTTCAACCAGCCACATGACTTTAGAAAGTTCTTGCTTAACTCCTCGGGTATGCTGTATCTCAGCAACAGGTCCTGGAACATTCTTGCTGTATCCAGGCCTTAGGTCCTATCCATGGTTACAGGACTCACCCTACAAGGACTCAGTAAGGACTCTTCCTGCTCTTTGTTAGAGACACATGATCGAGAGAGACAAGGGTTGATTTAGAGGGAGGCCATGACTGGGAGCTGGGTGGGAAGACATCTAGAAGGATAGTATCCTGATGAAGGAGAGGGTGGGGTGGCTGAAATGAACTCTAGGGAAGGGAAGCTCTGATAGAGATGGTAGAGTTATGGCCAGGAGATGGTCTGGAGACAAACTGGGCCAGTTTTCCAGTGGAAAGTAGTCAAGGTTGGGGAGAAAGATGTACCAGTTATGAGCCTTGCCTGGCAGTGGTAGCACATGCCTTTAATCCCAGCACTTCAGAAGAAGAGCGAGGCAGATACTGTGAGTTTGAGGCCATCCTAATCTACAGAGTGAGATCCAGGACAGAATCCAAAACTATACAATGAAACCCTGTTGGTAAAAACCAAACAATAATTATGAGCCCAAAGAAGGAAGTTGGAGCTGGGGTTATCCAGCAGTGCCTAGGAGAGTGGCCACTGAGAAGTCAGAAGACTATGCAGCAGGATGAGAGCATGCTGTGAGCATGATTGACTGTGCATCAGTACAGAAGTGAGGCAGGCTGCAGGACAGTGGTGGGGATTTCTCAGGTAAATTAGCCTGACCAACCAGGGTCCAGTGTACAGAAGGAAACCTAGACCCTTGTAAAATCTCCAGGACCCTAAATGTGCCTTTGTGAGGCTCAAAGACCAGTAAAAATGGTTCTGCTGTGTAGATAGCTTACTACATAAACTCCCCTGGTGCTTTCTGAGAGGGGCCTATTCTTCCTGGATGCAAGCTTAGGCTGGCATAACCAGCTCTCAGATAGTCCCCGGGTGGTGTGGTAAGAACATTCAACTTCTTCAGTGACACCCATGAAGAGTGAACACTTACTAGTAGACATTGGTTATAATGACTTAGTGTGTTTTTATTTGGCTGTGATACTCACTGCAGAATTATGTTTCAACAAAAAGCTGGGAAGGGCCTTGGTATCCTTCATTGGAGAATTTACTCCATAGACAAAATCTCACCTGAGGATAGATGATTTTACAGACCATGAACATCATGCTCTCACAAGTGCAGTCAGGGTGATCTTTCCAAAACACCAACCTGACTCTGCTGCTTCTCTGCTCAGACACTGCCCACAGCTGCCCACTGCCCTTCTGACTCTGCCAGATCCCAACACTGCCCTTCTCTGACCTCATGTTCCATTTGAAGTTGTCACCATCATTGTTCCTTGGTCCACCTTTTTCCTTGTGGTTTTATTTCTGACATACCGTACTTTCTATTTTTACTCCAATGCCCTGTCCTGTGCACATTTCCTTCCCTTCACACCTGTGTGAATGGGTCTGTACTGCCACTAGTACCTCCTATTACTGAATTGGCATCCCTGAGCCCCTCTGGGGATTGGCCTGTCTTGTGCTGGATGTGTTCCTGTGAGCCTTGACTATCTGGACACCATTAGCCACTGGGTGGTCTTGAGTCCGCTGACATTTCAGCTGTCCCAGGTGCTTTTAATTATCCTCAGCTCTCTTTCTTCTCAGAATCACCAAGAAGCAGCTGCAACTGTCCTTCCTCTTCTCCTTATCTCCTGTGTGGTTGTGAAAGGCTTCCCTGAAACACTGAAATGGGAGGCTTTCTTAGACACAGACTTTGCTCACACTCACAATTAGCTGCTGGAGAAGCCAGGCTATATAAGGAGACAATAGTGCCAGGTGTGCTTTCCTGAAGGACTTGGTGGCCTGGTTGGACGGTCCACACTAGTCAGGAGCCCTGTCTTTATCAGTTTGAGACAGCTTGACTGTCCTACTGATCGCAGAACCTCTTTGTGTCTCATCTTCAGTGTTCCTGGCTTGGCTGTTTCAAACCAACCCTCCTTTTAGCCCTCCCATCCCTGCAACATATGTGAGCAACTTACAAATTTGAACGTGGGTGCTTTTTCCTTTCTAAGGACAGAGACCTAACTTCTGCATCCATACTAAGCCCAGATTCTGAGATAAATTTCCCAAGATGCTGTTCACAGGGTTGGTTTGAAGCAGGTAAGCAATCATGCATTCAGGGTGCCCCAGAGACTCTTCATTTCCTCCCCTTTCTATAGAGCTCACAGTATACTGGGTGTATTCTTTTATTTCTGGCAGTTTGCTCCCAGGACCTAGCAGAGAGTGATGCAGAGGAATATCCTTCTCTGATGGGTGACTCAGCACCCTAAAAGATGGATGCTTGCTGTGTAACCCAGAGGAGCTGTGGGGTGCACTATGGGAGTAGATAACACAGGTAAACACCAAGGCCTGCTATATTCCATTCTGTTATCTGTGTGAGTCTGGAAACCAGCACCCATCTCTGCCTTTACCCTTGACCATCTTGACTCTGGTGTCCCATCTTGGACCTGGGGAAGGGACTCCACTCTGCTGACTTCTTAGGATGTCTGCTGCTTGCCTGCTGCTATCTAGTAGCACAATTCTACATATCCCTGCAATGACAGGAAACCTGTACCCTAAGGACCTTTTCTACAGAACTGCAGTGATTCCTGAGCCCAATAACTTCTCTCTGTGATTTTCTTATAAGTTATCTTCTGTGAGGGACTCTCCAGGATTGAAATGTATTAATGAAATTTTGTTGCTCTGTTTGGTTTAGGAATCAGGGTAATAGTAGCCTCATAGAAGGAGTTTGGTAATGTTCCTTCTGTTTCTATTGTATGGAACCATTTAGAGAGTATTGATATTAACGCTTCTTTGAAGATCTGGTAGAATTCTGCGCTGAAACCATCTGGTCCTGGGCTTTTTTTTTGGTTGGGAGACTTTTAGTGACTGTTTCTATTTCCTTAGCGGTTATTGGACAATTTAAATAGTTTATCTGGTCTTGATTTAACTTAGGTATGTGGTACCTATCCAGAAAATTGTCCATTTCTTTTAGGTTTTCCAGTTTTGTTCAGTAGAGGTTTTTGAAATGTAACCTGATAATTCTCTGGATTTCCTCAATGTCTGTTGTTATGTCCCCCTTTTTATCTCTGATTTTGTTGATTTGGATTCTCTCTGTGTGTTTGGGTAAGGGCTTGTCTATCTTGTTGATTTTCTCAAAGAACCAACTCTTTGTTTCATTAATTTTTTGTATAGTTCTCTTAGTTTCTATTTTATTAATTTCACTTCTCACTTTGATAATTTCCTGGCGTCTATTCTTCCTGGGAGACTTTGCTTCTTCTTGTTCTAGAGCTTTCAGGTGTGCTGTTAAGTCGCTAGTGTGAAATTTATCCACCTTCTTTATGTGTGCATTTGTTGCTATGAATTTCCCTCTTAGCACTGCTTTCATAGTGTCCCATTAGTTTGGGTATGTGGTGTCTTCATTTTCATTGATCTCTTGGAAGTCTTTAATTTCTTTCATTATTTCTTCCTTAACCCATTGGTGATTCAGTTGAGCATTTTTAGTTTCTATGAGATTGAAGGCTTTCTGTAGTTTTTTTTGTTGTTGAAATCTAACTTTAAACCACGGTGGTCTGATAGAACACAGGAGGTTATTCCAATTGTTTTGTATCTGTTGAGATTTGCTTTGTGGCCAAGTATGTGGTTGATTTTAGAGAAAGTTCCATGGGGTGCTGAGAAGAAGTTATATTCTTTCTTGTTAGGATGGAATGTTCTGTAGATATCTATTAGGTCCATTTGGGTCATGACATCAGTTAAGTCCTTTATTTCTCTGTTAAGTTTCTATTTGGCAGATCTGTCCAGTGGTAAAAGTGGGGTGTTGAAGTCTCCCACTATTACTGAGTTGTTATGCCTGAGGGCCTCTGTGGATTGGCCTGTCTAGTGTTAGATTTGTTCCTGTGGGCCCTGGACTCACGCTGGGAACAAGGAAGCAATTAGGCAGATAGCCTGCTCCCATGTAGGAGGGAATACAGCCCACCAATGTACCTGGGCCAACTCCAGTGTACCTGGGCCTCTCCACAAGGCTGAGAGGGTGGACACTCTACTGGCTACCAGATAATAGCAGTCTGCCAGAGGTCTCTTCATGAGGCTATGAGACATTCTTGAAACATCTGTCCCTGTACTTACACAGGAACAAGATATTCAAAACATAATAAAATTAAATATATCAACAAGATTTGATGGGCTAGAGGAATTGTCTGCAGTTCAGATTACAAACCTCTTCCCAAAGTTCACTCAGACAATTATGTGGCATACAAGTCTGCCCTACACTGAGACATATTGATGAGCAAATTATGGAGTGAAAAGATGATGAAAGTATGAGGTGTTAGGACCTCCCTCTCTTAAAAGTTAGCTCATGTAGAGCCACTATACATGACCTCAAAAATTCACCCCAGGACTCCTACAGCTGATAAACTACTTCAGTAAGGTCATAGGATAGAAGATTAACTCAAAAATCAGTAGCCCTCCTATATACAAATGATAAATGGACTGAGAAAGAAATCAGAGAAACATCACCCTTTACAATAGCCACAAATGATATAAAATACCTTGGGGTAACTCTACCTGAGCAAGTGAAAGACCTGTGTGATAAGAACTTTAAATCTCTGAAGAAAGAAATTGAAGAAGATATCAGAAAACTGAAAGATCACCCATACTCATGGATGGTAGAATTAACATAGTAAAAATGGCAATCTTACCAAAAGCAATCTACAGATTCAATGCAATCCCCAACAAATCCAATCACAATTCTTCACAGACTTGTAAAGAACAATACTCAACTTCAAATGGAAAAACAAAAAACCCAGGATAGCTAAACGAATCCTGTACAATAAAGCAACCTCTTGAAACATCACTACCCCTGACTTCAAGCTCTACTACAGGGCTACAGTAATACAAACAACTTGGTACTGGCAAAACAAAAACAAAACAAAACAAAACAAACAAACAAAAAAAACCCGACATGCAGACCAATGGAATCGAATTGAAGACCTGACATTAATCCGCACACCTATGAACATATGATTTTCTACAATAAAGCTAAAACTGTACCATGGAAAAAGGAAAGCATCTTCAACAAATAGAGCTGGCCTAACTGGATGTCAACATACAGAAGATTGCAAATCTAATTCATTTGCTTTTGGTAACTGCTTAGGGGACCTGCAATTTTAAATGGTTATTTTATGTTCAGGAAAGTTAGGTGTTATTCATGACTCTCTTGTCTCTTACAACCCCAAGCACAAATATGTATGTAGCCTACCTTCTAAATACTGGGTGAATTCATCTACTTTTTCTATGTTATTGTGGTGTTCATAATTCGCTCTGACATTACTCATCGTCTCTATTTCTGCAAAATATTTTCATTCTCCCTGCTTCTGGGTTTACTGCACTCCAAATGATCCTTCACAGAGAATGTTAAACCCCAGCTACTTGTCAGAGAATTAAACATTGTTCTATGTGTAGTGTGTGTACGTGTATATGTGTGTGCATGTGCACGTGCACATGTGTAACTGTAGAGGCAGAATTAGGGGCCAGAGGTTGACATAGGATGTCTACCTCGATTGCACTCCACCTCATTTGTGAGACAGAATTGTTGCTGGTGAGCTTCTCTCCAGGTTCCACCAAGCCCCGCAATCCCACAGTCCAAGTATAAAATAATCATTCAGACACTTATATTACTTATAAACTGTATGGCTGTGGCAGGCTTCTTGCTAACTATTCCTATATCTTAAATTAACCCATTTCTATAAATCTATACCTTGCTACGTGGCTCACCAGCATCTTTACATGTTGCTTGTCCTGGCCTTGGCTGCAGTGTCTCCCCCTCCTTCTTCCTGTTTCCCAATTCTCCTCTCGCCTTGTCCCGCCTATACTTCCTGTCTGGTCACTGGCCATCAGTGTTTTATTTATATAGAGTGATATCCACAGCACTTCCCCTTTTCTTCTTTTTTTAAAAAGGAAGATTTTAACTTTAACATGGTAAAATTACATATAACAAAACAATTATCAAGCAATAATTACAGTTACAATATTAAAGAAGATGTCCTGTCTGTCATATATTTGTGAGTTTAAGGTTTTATATCTAACTTATCTTTTATCATAACTGAGGAAATTACAGCTATCTAGTCTTTAACCACATCAAAGCCCTCAGAAGTATATAATATTACCTGAGAAATGGGAGAAGGATGTACGTAACTTTCAGGAGTCTTGCAGGGTAGAGAGAGAGAGATGGCAGCCTGGACAGTCACCTAATGTTCCTTTGTAAAGTTGGGGCATCTGTCTTTAGCTCA